AGTGTAGGAAACTGAAACTCAACCAGATGATAGTTCACAACTACTGAAAATCAGAATACAATTCATAAACAGATAAAATATCAGTCCAAATCATCCACCACATGCAATCAACTTTATTTTATTTTTTTTTTTTGGAATGACAGTTCGTGAAAACAGTTATATACAACATGTTTTGCACTTGGAAGGTGATATCAAAAGGGTGTCAAATTTTCAAGTAGCCTAAAAGTGCAGATAACACTATTAGGAAACTAAAAAAACTCTCTACCTTGAATATCCTTGTAAAATTCATCCACATTTCAGTAAAACTGAATTAGGATATTAATCATTAATTGAGTATAAAGTATAAACCGTCTTTGGAGGATTTTAATGAAGATTTCAGCTACCTTTTAACCCACCTACATGGGTCGAGGTCGGAGCAGGTGTGTTGGTACATAACAAAACCCAAAATTAAGAATCTAATATGAAACAAAATCTCCATACATTCACAGCTTCTAAAGAACGAAGCACCTCACAATTTCTCACAAAATTTGAGACACAAATGCATAAGCAAAATCCAAGAATTCAAAAAATTATCAGGAATTTGTTCTATATTCGTATTAATAACACTCACAATCAAGAACCCACGAACCAAGTTTTCAACTTTTCATACTTCTATCTACGATCAATTCGAAAGGGGGAAAAACAATGCGAAAAAATTACAAATCGATACGCAGTTATCACAGTACACTTTTTCATCCTACCACAGAGCTTGTGCGTATGTGTGTGTGCGATTGATCGGAAAGATAGAGAGACGGAGCTCACCTCACCTGAACTGGAACTGATCTGTCGTCGCTCGATTTAGAGAGAGAGATGTCAGCTGAGCAAGGTGAAGATGAAAATGAAATGATGAGAAAATTGGACAGTTTGCGGTGGGCCTATATTGGGCTTTAATGAATGGGTTTGGATCGCTGTGGGTGAACGTCACTAAGGAAACCCAACCCAATTTACGCTAAGCCCAACTTGGATATGTGTTTATTAGTAAACTAACTGGAGGCCCATTTGTCTTATTTAGGCAAAGGCCCACTAGTAAACAACTTCCGTTGGGGTTTGTAACCGTTACATCAACTATCCACGTGATGATCTAACGGTTATAATCCCGACAGAATGATTCCGTAGTGGCATTGTAAAAATAAAACTACAAATAAAAAAAGGTAAATATTTTTTTCAACTTGTACTATTCGTGTTTTTGGACAACATAAAGTATTTTTTATTATAAAATACAACCTGAATTACATATACATTCACTGTTTTCACGTTCTGCCACATCTTCACCATGTACGTGTCCTCTTTTACAGGTCAAAACGTAGTCGAATATGCTAATAATTATATATATGTAGTTCAAGTTATTTTTTGCTAGCCAATAAAAAAAAATCTAATACATTACTGTACCAGCTGAAACCAAATTTTCCAATAACCCCCAAACCAAAAAAATGCAGTCCCAAGAAGAAATTCGTAACCTCCCGATCGATATAGCGTTTGCTCGACTAGGAGGTAAAATCTTTTC